AAAAAAAAAAAAAAAAAAAAGAATTTACACAGTGACATCACTAGTGGCAGAGCCAGGATTCAAACCCACGTCTCTCTGAACCAAAACCCTGCACACTTTCCCCCTCTTCTCTGAAATGAGACATCACAGATGACAGGGGCTTGGGACCAGAAGAGGCTAAGCAAAATGACAGTCCCGAATGTCAACCCAGTGTTCTCTCACTAACCTTCTGGTGATTCACAAAGCATTTAGCACACCTGCATGCATAGGTAACTGTTTTATTTTATTTTATTTATTTTTTTAAAGAGACAGAGTCTTGCTTTGTCACCCAGGCTGGGGTGCAGTGGCACGATCATAAGCTCACTGCAGCCTGGACCTCCTGGCCTCAAGTGATCCTACTTTCTTAGCCCCTCCAAAGCACTGGGATTACAGGTGTGAGCCACCACATCCAGCCTATAGGTGACTTTTCAGGAAGCCCAAAGCAGTGAGCCTAAATTTTCCAATTTTCCACATGTCCCTTCACCTGGTCCCTCCCACAGGGATGACCCAGAGTCATTAAGACAATTTCCAGATCCCTTTCTCCTTGCTGGCGACAGGACAAGTAAATTCACTCAAGAACACTGAGGGATTCGGGGTTTTGTTTGACTTGGGAATAACCTGAACCCTTATCACAGCCAGTTCCCATGTCAGCCTCCCCTGACTCCATAAGCTCCTCAGAGCAAGAAACCCCTCCCGGTGGTTGGCCTGCGGGAGGCAGCTGCGGAACTAGAGTGAATTAAACTTTTGGCAGTGAAGGTCAAGGGTATAAACCTAAAAACGAGATGGACATGCTTAGTACAACTTGGGAAGAGAAAAGACACAGTTGCATCTAAGAGCCAAGAGATTTACCGACACAGAAGCCTTGGAGGGGGGACTCATACTCAGCTGTGAATAATATTCTGCATGCATAAAAACATTTCCCTGCAGACTAGAACAGGTCACCAAGTGGATTCACCCAAATCAGCAGCCTCTGCAGTCAACCTACTCCCTCTCTGAGAGGGTCCTAGCCCATCTGCAGAAACGTGTCCAGAACAGAGTTGTGTCCACTTCCAGATGCACAAAGTCCCTGCCCAAGCGCAAGCCAGCTGTCAACCCAAAGGTTAGTGTAGAATCCCACATGCCCGAGACAAGCAGGGTCCTTGGAGACCATTTGGTCCAATGGTTTCCACGTAAGCGATGGATATCCATGGTTGGGTGACGCATCCTCAGAACCGGTGCTAAGAGAAATGGCGGGATGCCCAGGTGTGGATGCTGGTGTCCCTCCAGAATTCATGTTAAAATCTTAACCCCCAAGACGATAGATTCAGGAGGTGGTTTGGTTATTGGGCAGAGCCCTCATGAATGGGATCACTGCCCACATAAAAGAAGCTGGATACAGACCCCTAGCTGCTTCTGCCACGCAAGGACACAGCAAGCAGGCACTGTCTGTGAACTGGAAAGTGAGCCCTCACCAGTCACCAAATCTGCCATGCTTTCACCTTGGACTTCCCAGCCTCGCGAATGGTCAGAAACAAAGTTTGTTGTTCATAAGCCACCCAGTATATGGTATTTTGTTATGGCAGCCTGAACACACTAAGACACAAAGTTCAAAAATGATCTTCCTGATCAGTGGGGTATGCTGTCCATCCATCAAGAGAGCATGGGGTGGGGGTAGATATTAAAAGATGAAGAAGCTGGGCTCGGTGGTTCAGCCTGTAATCCCGCACCTTTGGGAGGCTGAGGTGAGTGGATTGCCTGAGCCCGCGGGTTCGAGACCCGCCTGGGCAGCGAGACCTCATCTCTACAATAAATCAAAAAATCAGCCGGGCGTGGTAGCGCATGCCTGGAATTCCGGCTACTTGGAAGGCTGAGGCGGAAGGATCGCCAGAGCCCAGCAGGTCGAGGCTGCGGTGGCCGGGAGTGGCCACTGCACTCCAGTCTGAGCGACAGAGTGAGACTCCAACTCAAAAAAAAAAAAAGATGAAGAAACCTTAATCCAGCCAAACCCACCTTGTCCCTGGCCTCATTTTGCAGTTGGAGAAATGGACGCCCAGGAAAGGAAGTGACTTGCCCGGGGTCTCATCTGCTCTGCACCCCCAGCAGTACATTTGTACCCTCACCACCCTGTATAAGTGCCATCACCTCCCTGGGGCTACGACCAAAATCTCTTGTCTGGTCTCTGCTAATTACAGGCCGAGCTTCAACTGCACGAAGGGTCTCCGGAGTCTTATCTCTACCTCTTTCGCCTTCACCCAGTTTATGAGTGAATATTCAAGGGAAACACAAGTTTTATGAAAAGCACTTGTCCTTACTATGTATGATAAATTAATATTTTCTAAGTTCTTTTTTTTTTTTAATGCTAGTCACAACTCGTTACGCCGACTTTATAACACACCAGCAATCGTGACACAGGGTTTGAAAATTCCCGACTTAGATATCCTGAAAAAGTCAAGTCGGGATGAGGACTGTTCATTTAGGTTCCACTTGAGGCTGCTTTATGAATGGAATATGTTGAACACTGACCAAGAGAACTTGTGATTCCCACACCCCAAACTTCCCTCCCACACGCGCCACCATGCTCTTGGCTGTGCAGACCACGCACCCTAATCGCCCCAGATTCCTCCCTCCCAACAGCACCTCTCCGCCCTCACCACCCTGGCTCAAGCACTGTCACCCTCCCCCCGCCCCGGGCTCTGACAAAAACCACTTGACAGGTCTCCCTGCTGCCACCTCGGCCTCCCCACATATTCTCTCCCAGTAGCCAGAATTATCTCCTAAAAATGTAAGTCCCCGCCGGGCTCGGTGGCTCAGCCTGTAATCCCACGCTTTGGGAGGCCGAGGTGAGTGGACTGACTGAGCCCATGGGTTCGAGACCCGCCTGGGCAACTTGGCGAGACCTCATCTCTACAGTAAATCAAAAAATCAGCCGGGCGTGGCAACGCACGCCTGTAGTTCCAGCTACTCGGAAGGCTGAGGCGGAAGGATCGCCGGAGCCCAGC